GTATCCATTTCTTTTGATTTTCCAATCTTGTGGAGTACAGATTTTTAAAGTATGACCTGGAGTTCTTTCTATTTCCTCAGTATCTGTTGTTATGTCAAGATTTTTGTTTCTGATTTTATTAATTTGGATATTCTCTCTCCATCTTTTAATTGGTTTGGACAAGGGCTTGTCTGTTTTGTTGATTTTATCAAAGAACCAACTCTTTGTTCATCGATACTTTGTATTGTTCTCTTTTTTCTACTTTATTGATTTCAGCCTTCAGTTTCACTATTTCCACCCATCTCCTACCTGTGTATGAGTTTGTTTCTTTTTGTTCCAGAGCTTTCAGATGTTCTATTTAGTTGCTAGTATGAGACCTATCCAATTTTTTTATGCAGGCACTTAGTGCTAAGACTTTTCTTCTTAGTGCCAGATTCATTGTGCCCCATAAGTTTGGGTGTGTTGTACATTTTCACTGAATTCTAGGAAGTCTTTAATTACTTTCTTTATTTCTGTCTTGACACAGTAGTCATTCAATAGAAAGTTGTTCAGTTTCAGTTAGTTTTTAGGTTTTCTGCTGTTTCTGATATTCAGCTTTAATCCATGGTGATCTGATGGGATGCAGGGGGTTATTTTAATTTTGTGACCAAGTATGTGGTCAGTTTTGGAGAAAGTTCCACGAGGTACTGAGAAGATATTCTTTTGTATTTGTGTGAAATATTCTGCAGTTATCTTTTAGGTCCATTTGGCCTATAATGTCTGTTAGCTATTGTATTTTTCTGTTTAGTTTTTGCCTGGATGATCTGTCCATTGGTGTGAGAGTGGAGTATTGAAGTCTTCCACTACCAATGTATGAGGGTTAATGGGTGATTTAAACTTTAGTAATATTTCTTTTACAAACATGGGTGACCTAGTTTGGGGGGCATAAATGTTAAGAATTGAAATATCATCTGATGGATTTTTCCTTTAATGAGAATAAAGTGTCTTTCCCCATGTCTTTTGATTAATTTTTGTTTGAATTCAACTTTGTTAGCTGTTAGAATAACTACACCAAGTTGTTTTTTGGTCCATTTCCTCGGAAAAATCTTTCCTTTACTCCAAGGTAATGTCTAGCTTTGTTGTTGAGGTGTGTTTCTTGTATATAGCAGAAAGTTGGATCCTGTTTTTGCATCCTTTTCTGTTGGGGACTTGAGTCAGTGTATTGGTGTTGAGAGATATCAATGATAAATGATTGTTAATTCCTGTTATTTTGTTGTTAGTGTTGTTGGTTGTGTGTGTGTGTGTGTGTGTGTGTGTGTGTGTGTGTGTGTTTGCTTCACTTCTTTTGGCTTTGCTGTATAATATTACTTATTTTCTATGTTTTTACAAGTATAGTTAACCTCCTTAGGTTGGAGTTTTCTTTCTAGTACTTTTGTAGGGCTATATTTACGGATAGATATTGTTTAAATTTGACTTTAGTGTAGACTGTCTTGTTTCCTCCATCCATGGCAATTGAATTTTTTTCTGGGTATGGTGGTTTGGGCTGGCATCTGTGGTCTCTTAGAGTTTCAAGGGACACCTGTCCAGGCCCTTCTGGCTTTTACAGCCTCCAATAAAAAATTGGTTGTAATTCTAATAGGTCTGCCTCTATGTGTTAATTGTACTTTTTCCTTGCAGCTTTTGATATTCTTCCTTTGTTATGTATGTTTGGAATTTTGATTGCTATGTGATGAAGGGAATTTCTGTTTTGGTCCAGTCTATTTGGTGCTCTGTAAGTTTCTTGTATCATTATGAGCATGTCTTCTTTTAGGTTAGGAAATTTTTCTTCTATAATTTTGTTGAAAATATTTTCTGGGCCTTTGATCTGGGATTCTTCTCCTTCTATTCTTATTCTTAGGTTTGATCTTTTCACAGTGTCCTAGATTTCCTGGATATTTTATGCCAGAAATTTTTTAGATTTAACATTTTCTTATACCAATGTATCTGTTTTTTCTATTGTATCTTCAACACCTTAGATTCCTGTTCACTTACCTACATTCTTCATTTGCAGAGTTCCCTCAGTTTGTGTTTTCTTTATTGTTTCTATTTCTGTTTTCAGGTCTTGAACTGTTTTATTCATTTCCTTCAATTGTTTTTTCTTGTCTTTCTTTTTCTTCTTTAAGGGCCTCTATCATCTTCACAATGTTGGTTTTAAGGTCTTTTTCTTGTGCTTCAGGACTTACTGGGCTCTGGTAGTGACATATTGCCTTGACTGTTGCTGGTTATGTTTTTATGCTGGCATCTAGACATCTGGATTTGAGGTGATTATAAATATAAGTACCAATTTCTGAGTTTGTCTTTGTTGAATAGATTTTTTTCCCTTGGTTTCTGTTTCCTCTCTGGTCTCCTGGCCAGGGTGACCTGTGGTTGAGCAGAGGGACACCACCCATATTGGGAGCTGGATTTCTGATGGCTGGAGTGGTCTCTGATTGAGCAGTGGGTCTCTGCCTGAATTGGAAGTTGGGACACAGTGACAAGAAGGGGTAGGAAGACTGCAGTTAGGTGAGGGGGAACCCAAGGGAGTGAGGGGGTACCCAGGCATGCATCCTACCTGGAGTTCTGGTAGATGACATGATCAGTGGTCAAGTGGGGTACGTCCACCTAAGAAGGGGGCAGGGACAGGGTGGGGAGGTAAAGAGAGGTAATCAGAGGGAGGTTGAACAGGCACTGAGAGAGAGGGAAAAGTCTGTGGGTGAGCTGCCTACTGGGAGTCCTGGGGGCTAATGAGGCCTCTAGTTGAGCAGGGGCCCTCCATGGGGGTTGGTGAATGAGATACCATGACATGGAGGGGAGGGGCAACTGGGGGTAGAGTGGGTGAGTACTGCAAGATAGGGACAGTTCATGGGCAGGCAGCCTACCTGGAGTTCTGGCAGCCAGTATGGCCTTAGCTTGAGCAGTGTGCTTCTTCTGGAGTTGTGAGCCAGGATATGGTGACAAGGAGGAGAAGATGTGGTCAGGGGTAGGCTGGGTGGGCACTGAGAGAGTGGGGGAGGACCACAGGCAGGTTGCCTACATGGAGTTCGGATAGCTAGCATAGCCTTTGGTGTAGTAAGGAGCTTCAGCCAGAGTTGTGGGTTAGGATCCTCTTCTTATTTTTTATAATGCATGGAATCCAATTAGTGCTGCTCATACCACATGATCATGAACGTGAAGCCATCCACTATGGCATGGACAGCATACCAGTTGCCACTTCCCACAAAGAAAAATGACTCCCCCCTCTTCAGCAGCCACCAACTTCCAATCAGTCCTCAGCTCAAGGCATGACATTGGGAGCCCCTTCCCCTCCATGCTCGGCTTTTTTAATGACTTGATAAGGTACAGGTAGCCCAACTGCAGTATTTGTGAATACACATTGAAGAAAGTAGTGGGTTTTATTGTGACACTTTCATAAATGCTTTTATCACATTCGTGACACATTTATGTCCCCCTTGAGAGATCTTGCTGGGAGCTACTCTAAGTAGGGAGCTAGCATTTGCTGACCTAGTTTTCACACGTTGACACTGGAACCTCTGTCTATTGTTTTAATTTTCTTTGTTTTCAAGTTATCCTTCCCTTAGGGCTCCCTTGTCTTCTGCACCATCTCTTTGGTCACATGAATGTTCTGTGAACCTGGTGGCAGGGCCTGTTTACCTAACACAAATCAAAATTGGTGGGCTTGAAAATCATAATGAGAATCAGAATTGAAATATAGATGCTGTGCATTTCTCTTCTCCCCTGGAAGAAATTGCCTGGCATCAGCAATAAACCCTGCACATCTCTCTGGGAAGAGTTAATATTTGATCAACTCAGGGGCAGTTACTCTTTATCTCTGAGAAAGCTGTCATTAGTTACCTCACCATGGCTGTGGCATTAACTCTAAATGTATGGGGTATGTCTCTGAAATCTATAGTTTTACTGCTACAGCAAATTGGGGCACTGAAGCTTCCTGTCACAGGCTTACCCTTCCTTCCTTATGCCACTCAAGATCCATGTATGCACAGGATTGACTGGCACCATGCTGGATTCCCAGATGCATGGATCAAAGAGCAAAGCCCTGATTTTACAATGTGCTCCTTGGTTAGGAGAGGCTCATTGCTAGCATGGAAATATCAACTATCAAATAGAACTTTCTAGAAACCTACTTCTGTCTAGAGTGTGTTTGTGTGATTCGGTTTCCTGAAAACTTCAGCAGACCCACTCCATGAGAGCCAGATGTTGAATTATTCAGTCCTTTGGAAGCACTAAAGTGATGGATATTAACTTTGGTGTGTGTGTGTGTGTGTGTGTGTGTGTGTGTAGGCCAGAGGTTAGCATCAAGTGTCTCCCTTTATCTCTCTACATTTTTATGCAGGATCTTTCCCTTAACCTGGAGCTCATAGGTTCAGTCAGACTGGCCAGTGCGCTCCAGGAGCTGCCTGTGTCCACCATCCTCTAGGGCTGGGGACACAGACACACCACCCCTGGTGCTGGGGTCACAGACACATGCAGTGCAACTGGCTTTTACGTGGGTGCTAGGGTTTCTACCTCAGCTCTTCGTGCTTGCTTGGCAGGTACCTCACTGACTAAGCATGTCCCTAGCCCCTTTGGGTTGTTTTACAGTGTTTTATCTGGAATCTCCTTTTGTGCCCACAAAGTGACACAGTGGGGTCTCCAGTCATGAAGGCTGAAGAATAGCAGGGTGGAGAAGCACCTCTGCCTGTTGACTCATGGCTCCCTCTTAGTCTACCATCTCTATTATGACAAGAAAAACAGTGATTTTAACACACAGGGTGACAGTTTCTTCTGAACACTACAGCCAGCATTGAAAGGCCTAACATTAAGAATATCTCAGAACAAAATAGTCAAACAATCTGGTCAGGGTTCAGAAAGAAGTTCTGACTCCTCAGAGATCCTGTTGTCACATTTACTTCAGCACTCTGAGGGGAGGTAATGGAATAGACAGCATCCTAGAGTCCCCTCTGTCCTGTAGTCTGAGCCTATGGTGGTTCCCAGAACTCACACCTCTGCCTGTGTTTCTCTTGCAGAGACATCAAGCCGGACAACATCCTGCTGGACGAGCATGGTGAGTTGAGGTCTCCTTCCCCCTTCCCTGGGGCCCCCTTCCAGCCTGGGGCATGGGAGCTGAATGAGGGTGGAGGAGTGGATCTTAGGTGCTAGAGAAAACACTCTGTTCCAGTCCTGATAGTGACATGTGTCAGTTTCTGAGCAATGTCCTGTCATGGTAAGTTGAATTGAACTATTTGCAGGCATCACTTCTGAAGTCACTGCTGTTTGTATCCTGGTTTGAGGGTGACAGCGCACAGAGAGGACCAGAGAGTGTGAGATTATAGTGAAGTAATGTCCTAGTCCTGTGCAGGGGTGCAGAAGGTCTGATGGCAGGAATGTGAGGTGCTGGGGGCAGTAGCCTCCCTTCCCTGACCCCTTTCTCTGTTCAGACGCACCCATATCCAGGTCATAGAGGCAGGTGAAATGAAGCTGAAAAGAGGTACAAGTGCCTCTGCAGTACTCCCAGGGAAACAGAGCCTTCAGGAAAGATGGGTTCACACAGAAAGTGCTGAGCAGTGACCACTGATACCATACTGGCACAGAGCACCTCTGTGTTCAAACTGTGGACAGCCGTCCTGAGGTAGGATCCAGGCCAGACCACCAACCAACTCCTTGGAGCTCTTAGCCCTTTCATTCATGAGAACTGCTTTAGAAAACCATCAGGAAAGATCAGGACCATTGGTTGTTCCATGGCTCTGGTGTGCTCCCTGAAGCCATGCCCAGTCCTCCCAAAGCTGCCACATCAAAGAACCTAGGTGGGCAGGCAGTGGTCCCATCCCTGTGGGCCTCACAGTGTTGTGTGGATTGGATAAGCTACTGAGAACCAAGAGGCATGAGTAGGCGGGCCAAGGGGAGTCACTACCGTGAAGTTGGGATGATGATGGCAGCAGATGAGGATGTAATAGGAAGCACCCTGGGGAATAGCTGGGGAGAAGAGAGCTTTATCTCCCAGTCCTACCTGAAGGTGGTTGTGTCCCTCTGGGCCTCATTCCCCCATTCAGTGGCTTGGGGCTCATCCTGAAGAACCTGAGAGCCACTGAAGAATAAATACCAAGTGGGGTTGGAGAGACACCAGAGATACTGCATGGAAAATGGAGCAGTGGGAGCAGATTAGCCCCATGAGACCCCAACATGAGCAGCAAAGGAACCTGTCCATCAGAGCCTGGCATGCCGGCTTGATGAGGCTGATGTAATTGTGCACAGGGATCTGGAAGCATCAGTCAAAGACTTCTGAGATGGTCAGCAGATACAGACACCATCTCCTCCCTGGGTCCTCACTCAGCACTGTGTATGACTCTGTCCCATCTTCATGATGACACCAGGCAGATTGCATCAGGACCCACCCCACTGGCCTTGATTTTAGCTCTTTAAGCATCAGATCTCCAAATCCACATCGTCTTCAACTACAGGGGCTTGAGATTTAGCATAAGAAGTTTCGAGACACCTTTTAGCTCTTCACATCAGACTCACAATGGGGATGGGAGCCCTGTGTGCCAGCAGGTCTGCCTTAAGTCACTGCCTCCATTGTTCTTAGATTCTTCAGGTGCTGGGGCTGGAGGCTCTATTTCACTCTAAGGATTCAGAAGAAATTTCCTAGGGACTCTTGGTTCCCACAACTAACTCAGGCCAGTTACAAGCCAAGATCTTTCCAGCCAAAGGAGGAATATGATGTCCAAAGTTCCCAGGATTCTATGTGGATCTAAAGGAAGCCAAGAGGGAATTCTGAGGCAGCTTTGACTGACAATTTTACACTTCTACCCAAAGCTCTGGAGTTAGTTTTCAAGCCTGCATCTGCATATAAAAACCACACAAGGGACCTGGGAGATGGCTCAGGAGATAAAGCTCTTACCAGTTGAAAACAAGAGTTCCATCCCCAGTACCCACATAAAAATGCTAGAAGTGGTGCACACTTGCAGTCCTGGCACTGTGAGCTGGAGACAGGTGGGCCCCTGGGAGCTGCTGGCCAGCCAGCCTAGCCAAAAACAACTAGGTGCCAGTGTCTGTGATTCAAAAATACAAGGTGGATGGTGTCTTAACAGCAAGCCCTGAGGTTTTCTTCTGTCCTCTATACATATGCATGCACACCTGTGTGTATATGTTCACTTGCACATGCATGCATACACACACACACACACACACACACACACACACACACACACAAAGGCTCATGTCTCCACAGTTGACTAGGGATTTCCTGTGACCTCATGGCAAATGGAAATACCTGGGTCATGAAGCTTTGGAAACCCACAATGATACTCCTCTTGACTCCACAGGGCGTGTCACACCTCTGATAGAGATTAGGGCAGGAATTTAATTTAGTGTATCTTTGATCAGTTATCTCATGAGTTTTATGACTATTGTGTCTTCTAAAGATTTTTATTGAGCATGTGCCATTCAGTATGAACATAACCAAAGGCAGGACCCTGCATATTCCTAAGTGGGTCATCACATGGCACATTGGCCAGCATCCCCCCACCCCTTTTGAAAACCACATTAGTTCACTGTGGAACAGGGAACCCTATGTCGCTATTGCTTTCATTGGGTGTCACCTTGGAGACAAGAGAGCTGCATTTCAATGTGATTTTTAAAAATCGGTAGATACACACAGGAATATTTTATTGATGATGCTCAGGCCTGCTCATTCCACAAACTCCACAGCTCCTAGGCAAGCTTCCCTGCTCCCTCCTGGTCTCATAGGGTAAGCTTCTGGTCTTAAGATAGAGCTGAGATTTGGAGTCTGAACCAGCAGACAAGTAGAACAACCGTGAGAGTTGGGGAACTGAGCTAATAGAAGACAGGAACCTGCAAAGAAAAGGAGATAGTGACCTTGCTTAGTGACTAAGAGCTCCTAGCAGAGGGGACTTGGCAGATGTGGAGCAAAGAGGAAGGAGTGTGTCCATCTTCCATTGCAGAATCAAGTTGAGCATCATTCTACCACATCATTTTAAAAGCATAAAAAGCATTTAAAAAGCAAGGAGTAGTCAGCTGGCTCCCAGGTCTTGGGAGTGGAAGTGCTGCAGGCTAGGCAGGGCTAACCTTGCTATGAACACTAAGTCCAGCAGGGTTAGAGACTCTCTGTCTGTCAGCTGACCCACAGTAGCCTTGGTTGGCTGACTACCTGGGTGACTCAGCTCTGCTTCTCTGCCTGAAACTCTGGAGGGTGCATTCCCCGTGGCCTTCTCTCGGTCATTTCAGAAGCAAGGACAAGGAGAGCTGAGACCAGGCATGCCTGGGTCACACTGACACTGTCCCAGTGGGTATCATTTCTTTAACTAGCTTGGGTTTTACACATGCCCCATACACAGAGGTGCCTGCAGCAGACGAGTTCTCTTAAAAGCCCTGCATTGCTTCTTCACAACTGTATGATGGGAAGAAGCTAAATCTCACAGAATAGCAGGCACTATCAGGCAAAGACATGCTTTGAGACCAATCTTTCACTGGGAGTGAACGAAGCTTTGATAAGCTTGCGCATGGATTTTCATTGGCTTTCTTTCTTGCCTGTGGTAAATCTTTGTGATCTCCATACAGATAAGTGGCCAGAACACAGGAGCTGTGTGCAGCACCCAAGATAGCAGATCTGTGTGGAAGATCAACAGTACCCCTCCTCCTCCACAGCCCATGCAGAGAGCCCAAAAGCACTGCTATTTTTAACAGCAAGCATGGGGGAGCATAGGCAGCCAGAGCCATGGGCAAGGCTGCTGCCTCTAGTTCTTATCTATCTGGGCTTCCAGTTGCTCCATCGAAACAGTACCACTGAGCTCTGTCTTGGGCATGGGGTGGATCCTGAGAGCCTGCTAGGGTGAGCAAGATACTAAGAAGTAGTATGCCTCAAATTCCAATTGGATGACTGTGGAAGGAGGTGGCCCTGGGTGCTGTCCCTTCCATTCTAACACCTGGCCAGTTCCTCCACTCTCTGTCTCTGCCCCTCTCTCAGGGGTGTCTTGGCGGTTCAACACTCACCGACATAGGTTCCAGAGGCAGGCCTAGAAGGATCCATGTTACAAACCCATGGATGAGAACACTGTCAACCTCTGGGAGTGCCAAGCTGTCTCTGCAAACACAACAAAGGCAGCCATCAGGATGCACTTGCTGGGCCTGGCACTAAGTTATTCAGTAACCTCTCAGAAGTCTTTTACCAGGTCAGACCAATGCTAAAGCCCTTGGAATGGAAATGAACAAGGCAGGATTTCTGGACCCAAAGACAGGAACAAGGTGACATTAGAGTGGTGGGCAGGAAATTGGGATAACAATGGAAGGGAGCACAGGTGTCTACAAAGAGTCCCAGTCCAGGCTGTACTGGAGTGAATAGAGTGCTCCACCCTCAGTTCATGTGGTCAGGTTCTGGTTGTAGTACTTAAGGTGAGGACTTTCAAAAATGATTGGGTTTGGATGACATCATGGAGGTGACACCTGTGGTGGCTTGAATGAAAATGGCCCTCATAGGGTCATATATATGAATGCTTAATCATCAGGTAGTGGCTGTGATTGAGAGAGATTAGGAGGTGTGGACTTGCTGGAGGAAGTCTGTCACTGGAGGTGGGCTTTGAGGTTTGAAAAGCCCATGATGGCCCAGTCCATCTCTCTCTGGATCAGGATGTAGCTCTTAACTACTTCTCCAAGACCATGCCTGCCTACCTGCCACCATGCTCCCAACCATGATGCCAATAGACTAAATCTCTGAAATTATAAGCAAGTTCTCAGTTAAATGCTTTCTCTTAGGAGAGTTTCCGTGGCCATGGTGTCTCTTCTCAGCAATAGAACACTGACTAAGACAATACCGTACAATGGAACTGGTGTCTACATAAGGGATTGAAGGGCCTAGAGTTCTCCCTTTGTCTACCCAAAGCAGGCAAGGAGCTATTTTTAAATCAAGAAAGGGACTATGTTTAACCTGCTCCTGTACTGTAACATAATCCCTTAGAATGAGTAACTTACAAATAATAGAGCTTCCAGAAGAGGCAGTGTCTAGTGAGGGCTGCTCCCAAGAAGGAACTTTGTTGCTGCATGTACCAATAG